CTGACAAAAAAAAGCGGCAAAGCACACTGCCACCTCTTCCGTGTGGTATCGCTTGAACACAAAACATAGCGGGGGGGCCCTGGGTGTTTACATGCCGAGTTTATCACACGTCACGCTCAGGTCTTAACCAGGCCTCCAGTGTGTAACTGCGTGGCACCAGCCAAACACAGAGGATCAAATCTGGTACTGTTTACACATAAGGACCTCTGCACTGTGCTCTTATCAAATAAAAAAACAAGGATTCAATTCCATTCAACGCAGCCCAGATGGGGCCTTCTCAAAGGCTATAAACCGGTGCAGTTATCATTTAAAAATGATAAGGAAGACCACTGAATGTACGACTTCAGGATTTGTATATCCAAAGATGTTTAATGTAACTATGCAGATTGTGTTAAACTTAAGCACAACAACGCGTTTCGATGACAAAAGCACTACTATCGTGCGGTAACCACCTCTCCATTTACCCATTTCGGATATTGTTTTGAACGGGGAAAACAGTTGCCACGTTTGTCCCAGCAAATTATTCCCACACAGCAAAGTGGGTGAGGCATTTTCTGGGCCCCAGCAAGCCGCCGGCTGGCGGGTTGCGGCAAATGCCGAAATGCCAGGGGTACAGTGGTGCAATGCGGCCGTGTGGGGGGGGGGGGTCTTGATGTAACACGAGACACGAAGCCCATTACTGCAGGGCACAGACGCCACAATCAATCGTTCACTGGGGCTTCTTGGGGTTCAGTGGAAATTCCTTAAGGCTCCCCTGCAAAACCAGAGCATCACAAACAAATCACAAGCGATACAGCCGACGACGCACTCAACAATGACGAGCCTCGATGAGGTAAACCACAGAAAATTGAACAAAAATACGCCGGCGTGCCCTTCAGTGACCACGCCAGCATCAACAGTAGCCATGCGTCGATTCAGCACCACCAACTCAATGAATTGTCACAAACCGATGCCGAGATTCCATGTAAAAAATCTATCATTTTTGTCATGCTTTATCTACGCGTTTGTACTATTCCTTCTTTTATAACCTCACTTGTACAGTAGTATTTGCTCCAAAAGCCTAAACGTGACATTAAAATATATTAACGTCAGAAGTTATAACCTATTCTACACACAGTATGATGTATCACGAACATTTGAATCCGTTTGAATAAAGGAATTGATGTAATGTTACATTGCTCTTAAAGAGCCAACGTTAGTAACGTGACCATGCCTGCCTTCTGTTAGGAGGCAGTGGTCCAGTGGTTACTGCACTGCACAACGGATCCAGCAACCCGATGTTTGATTCCCATCCATGGCAGCCAGCCAAGGCAAGTGCCATCAGAACTCGTCTTGGGATTCCCTGAGGACCACTCAGCCCAAAAAAAGTACCTAGTTAAAAGTGTAAACATCAGCTCTGGTGAAACTAAGCCAGCTAGGAGTGGTGATGGCCACAGCACTCCCTCGTGTGTAGTACTGGCGTTAATAGGCAATTTCCAACAGCCCTTGTCCCAAAAGTCCAAACGTTGAAACGGGGGATCTTTACCACAAACATGGGCCAGGGACAGTACTTTCCATGGACGATATAAACAGAAGTGACAATGCAATGCCGGCAAGATCAAACACGGAGGCCCCAACCGCTTTGTTAATGGGTGCTCTTGAAGAGCAGATTCTCAAGATAGTCCATACCATGGAGCCCTCAAATGGTTTCTCAAACACTGCACGGTATATGTTTTCTAGCCAACCGCAGCTCACGAGATGTCTCACATGGCCAGTGTGTCCACCGTTTATGGCACAGCACAATCGTATTCTCCTGTCTCTGATGGATATTTAACACCCATACATATTCAAATGTTAAGCTCATTCTGCACAAAATGAGCAGCACAAGGTACATGATTAAGTGGCCGGGGCAAAAAGTGAGAGTTTCATTAACATAGACAACTATACTTTAATATTCTTGGTTCTTTCGATAAAGTCACGTAGAAGGGAAATAATAAAACCGAAAGAACCAAGAATATGAATCCCTGCAGTCACGAAAGCTTTAAATCAAAATGTATACTTTTATACTTTATTTTTCGTGATTCGCATACCTTTCCTCGATTTTGCACTCCTATTGTTTGTTGTGCTAACTTGCTGATCCACCCCTATTGGACATTTGTGAAACGGAGCTTCATAGTTCATCAGATTCTTCCAGTCTAAATAAAAAATATGATTCTGAGTTAAAATGGCTGCAGAGAAAAAGTATATAACGTGTTTGTCTTGTGCAGTTTTGCTCATTAAAAAACCTGGACAATTCTACCTTCATAGCGCCGCTCTGCACATTGAACAGAAAACGAAAAGGGATGGTCTGTCTTATACTGTATACCATTCACAATCCATGTCATAACAATATATTATCAAACACGGCCCAAATTAGACTCAACACTTTCATTGGTATGCTTGGCCAGTCCCTTTGAATGAATCTTTATGATAGTAAAGGCAGTACGTTACGTAAAATAAAACGTAAACATAGGAATTTCATACATCATACACATCAGGCAAAAAAACATAATACAGCAGCAGAAATATTTGCAAAGCACTCAGAATAATGCGCAAATGCACAATTAATGACCAAGTTAAAGATTACATCCTGACCAACAATTTTCCAGGGTAGGGTAAGTAGGCAGACATTGTCTAGTTTACCCGACTTGCACAGAACTTGTCAATCTAACCACCCGTTCTGCAAAGCACCACAACGATCCGATCATCTTGCCACAATGTACTGTGACTGGCTGGTTGAAAACAATCATTACTGCAATAGAAAGCAAAAATTCGGCTGAATACTGTTTTCATATCTGATGCGGAGCACTGAGTTCCCGTCTCACTCACTGTAATGATACACTTCATTGATTCCCTAAAGCAGTCAGATTTATCGATGATCCAGCACTAATTAATTCACTCGCTCACTCGTGGTTAGCTACCTACTTATCACTTTTATATCGCTACTACCATGGATATATACCGCCCCATTAACTTCACCGATGTATTATTCCTCCACCCATGTTGAGGACTCGGATCTACCAGGCACCGTTTCGTCTCAAACACAGACCAACACCGTACACAGAGGCCATCAAACAAGCACTTTATAAAGTACTGGATTAAATGTGTTCATGAGTATTTAGGTAGTATATCCCGTGTTACAGTAGCAGTGCATATGCATTTTGAGTATTAGTACGGTTGGATACGCACGGTGCGAAATAAGTTCTACATACAATGCTGTATACATTTCGATTTAAAGCTTTCGTGACTGCAGAGATTCATATTCTTGGTTCTTTCGGTAATGTTTTTAGAATTCGGTAAAAAATAAAAAAAATCTACATTTTAAGAGCCGCAATGCCGGTCCAACCACTCCACCTGAAGTCACAACAGCACTTCTCTCTTCGCTTCTTCTCTCGCGCCGTTTCATTTTCGAATTCCCTCCTCCTCATCGTCTCTTTTCTCAAGCTCGGAATAACCCTGCTCAACCCAAGCGTTGACTCTTTATCCAGGACAACTTTCGGCAGGCGCTGTCTGTGTTTTGTTGGTGACCGCTTGGCGTTTTGAGCCTGTGCTCGGCAACTTTGTAAAATAAATAGGAGACTGGGTAGTCGATTTGAGCAGCAGATATTTGTTGTTAGACCACGGCCCCAGCACGATGTTTCTGCAAGGTGAGCCAGACACGTGGCTACCAACTCAGCTGTCGCTCCATGTGACCCACACAGACTGCATTGATATGAAAACGACTGCACATCTAACACATTGCACAGGTATTCTTACATGCGCTATTGTACGTGCAGATAAACACGTACCAACACGTGTACAACGATCATTAAACAATGCCCTTTAGAAACTACTGCATACAAGCTTTCGTGACTGCAGGAATCCATACTCTTTGGTTCTTTCGGTAGGTATAAAATAAAATAAATCACGACGTTTCGGGCGCAACACAAGCATCCATAATCAGGTGGGAAAGCGTGGCCTGCTGCTGAGGCAGACTGTTTTAAAAAGGTGTGAAATGGGTGTCGCTCAAGGGTTATCAAGAAGTGACCGGGGCTAGTGATGTTAACGTGAGAAATTAGCATGTTAATGTGAGGATTACTGCATACATTTGTGCATGAGTGGTTTGGTAGCAGTGTATATGTCCTGTATTCTGAATATATATTGCTGTACAGTATAAGCCGTGCCTGTTCTTGAATGATGCGGTGTATACAATCCCACGTACCGGTATTAGCGTGCGTATGTGACCCACGTGGATACACACGAATATTGGGTTTACATACGAGCATAAAACGACACACAGCTCTAACATCACGGCTGTATTACAGACGCACCACCAACCCTAAGCCTCAGTCGAACCATTACCTGGCATTAACCAAACACTAACAGCAGCAGCCCTACTGGTTTGAGTAACCACAAACATTACCACTGTCTCTAGCTCTAAAGATGTACTAATAACCCTAACTATAACTTGAAACTTATACAATACTTAGCCCTGATTCTATCCCTGAACAAGACGCGAACGTGACCTGGCTTCGAGTATAAAACTCACCTTTACCCACAGCACTAACCTTAACTGCATCTCTAGTATCAAAGGCTTGACCATACCAATAACTTAACCGTAATCCGAACATCATTTGGCTTTAATCGTAACGAACCCAATCACTGGAATTCGTGGATTTCGCCACAACACGAACCCCAGCCATAACCCTGACACAAACAGCAACACCCAAACCCTCTCACCATTACCTCCACTCCTAGGCCAACATTGTTAATGTTATTTAAGGGCAATCACGCCACGGACCCCCCCCCCGTCCCCACGTCCAACACCCCCGAGGGGCAATGAACCGCCAGTACTGTGTTTGACTCTCATCTCCGTCCACCACTATCGTGCGTGCAGCGCACATCAACTACACAGAGCGAGAGAAACACGACAGCCAGAGAGAGAGGAGGCGTCTGAGGCTCGCACAGGGGACAATCTCGACCTGACCACCGCCAGGACTTACCTACGACGGCGCGGACACGAACATCGAGGGGACGGGGATTTTGAGGAACCTCCACAGAAGGGCAGGGCCCGAGACTCACGTCGAACGCTACCTCCCCCCTCTCTTCTCTCTCTCCTGCCACATGGGCCTCTGCGATCACCCACTCACCACACTGCGCCCTCCGTATGCAAATCAGCCGTTTCGACGCATCACGTTCTCGTTTGTGTCGCCGCCAGGATGAAGCGCCGAAAGTTACTGGAATGCATCGAGTTGTCGAAGTGATAGCCGAGAACACACGAGGTGCCGTGTTTATGGACGTTAAAGGATAATTGGGCGACGTGGCAAATGTAAATCCGCGTCCCTTCAATTTGTTCGTTTCGATCGAGTCCGCGGCTCTGCGCCGCGATGACGTCGCTACGCTTGTGCGTGACGCTCTAAGAGCCCGAGACGTCATGTCACCAGTCGCGAGGCTGCACCGAGGTACATGGCGCGACATGACGTCATTCGTTAGTCGTAATGGGGTCGCCGAGTCGGGAGCGTCACAAAAGTCGTGCGCCTAATCGATTATTTACGAAAATTATCATGAATCATATGAATAGTGCAGGTTAGGACCGCCTGTATTGCCGTAAAACCCTTGAATCGTTCTCCGCATCATTGATATTTCCGTCGTGATTGCTAAGAATATGCTATCTGCGTGACGGGCATTTGTGTTGCGCCCGAAACGTCGTGATTTAATTTCTTTTATTTTACCTACGTGACTTTTTTTGAAAGAACCAAATCAAAATATATTCAGCGAAGCTACGAATGGACCAGCCTGTGACTAAACTACCCCCGCACCTCCCGATTAGCACGGTCGGTGGCTACGTACGGTGCGAAAGAAGTCCACGTCTCGGACTGAACGGGGCTGATCCTGGATAGCGCTTGGGCGTGCGGACACAACGCGCCCCGGGTTGTCATAGGCGGCTGTGGAGTTGTGCGACGTTATGTGCAGTGCAGAAGAAAAACAACAACAACAACATTGTTCTACTGTACTCCTTTGCCCCCACGTCTATGCCTCCCCTGGCTTCAACGCGCACTGAGCGGCGTGGTGAAGAACGTTCAAAAGAACGTCGTGGCGGAAACCCGAGGTCACATAAGCCCCCGGTTCTCTCACATAAACCACGTTGCGACGTCATTTTATGTCTGTCGAAGGCAAATGATAACGGCGATCTATTCCTCTTGACGAACTCGACACGATACGCTAATCAAAGTTGTGTTTCGTCTGCGCATTCGTCCTTGGACATGACGTGACAACAGAACGATCTGTGCCAAAAAAATAAAAATAAATACATTTTTTACTTCAGTTTATTCGGGACCCCAGGGTCCCGCCATGAGGTTCAAATAACCCCCGAGAGCCCCACAGCCTGCACGGTGTGGCAAGCCCCTTATCCAGCAGTGGATTCGTTTTAATGCACATATTACGTGGTGTGCCAGCTGGCCAGGGATTAGGCAAAGACGTTACCCACTTCAACAGAGTATATCCACAATGGAGCTACTGAGGCAAGAGCGAGAATCTGTAATGCCCGATAAACCATTCTTGCATCGCACTGGAACCAGGTCATTAGAGTTCAATCTAACCTATATAATTCATTTTTTGTCTGTTTGTCTGTCCGTCCGTCTGCGTACGCTCCCTACTGGGGGATTTAGCTCTCGGACCGTGGGGTTCGGCGAGATTAAATTTTGCAGGTGGGCACGCCCCCGGCCCCGCGGTAAACTTAGGCATTTCCGATTTTTCGTCTCTAAACTTTAAATCGGACCGATTATCGATTTAGTGCGATTTCTCTTTAGTTATTTATCAAAATTATTTATTTATTTAATACTAGCAGAAGTACCCGGCGTTGCCCGGGTGAAAAATATATTTCTTACTACCCTTACATATATACACAGATACTAAGGTATTGTCAAAGCCCGGTGGGCTTTGACAATACCTTTCACCACTCACAACTCACCCTCACCACTCATCGTCACCACTCCCACTCACTACTCACCCTCACCATTCACCATCACAACTCACCACTCACCAATCTCCCTCACGGATCTCCCTCACCCTCACCACTCACCCTCACCACTCACCAATCACCACACACCCTCACCACTCACTCTCACCACTAACCCTCACCACTCACTCGCACCATTCACCCTGACCATTCAGCCTCACCACTCACCACTCTCACCATTCACCCTGACCATTCAGCCTCACCACTCACCCTGACCACTCACCCTCTGCCTCACCACTCACGCTTACCACTCACCCTCACCACCACCACTCACCCTCACCACTCACGCTCACCACTCACTCTCTCCACTCACCCTCACTACACACTAATCACCCTCACCACTCACCCTCACTAATCACCCTCACCACTCACCACTCATCCTCACTACTTACTACTCACCTTCACTACTCACCTTCACCACTGCCCCTCACCCTCACCACTCATCCGCACAACTCACCCCTAACCACTCACCCTCACTACTCACCATCACCACCTACCCTCACCATTCACTACTCACCCTCACCACTGACCCTCACCACTCATCCTCACCACTCACCATCACCATAAACCCTAACCACTCACCCTCACCACTAACCCTCACCACTAACCCTCACCCTCACGACTCACCCTTACTACTCACCACTCAACGTCACCACTGTTCGTCACCACTCACCCCTCAACATCACCACTCACCCTCACCACTCACCATCACCACTTACCCTCAACACTCACCCTCACCCCTCTCCCTCACCACTCTCCCTCACCACTCACCGTCACCACTCACCCTCACCACTCACCCCTCACCATCACAACTCACCCAAACCACTAACCCTGACCCCTCACCACTGACCACTCACCACTCACCCTCACCACTAACCATCACCACTCACCCTTACTACTGACCACTCAACCTCACCACTCTTCGTCATCACTCACCCTCACCACTCACCCCTCACCACTCACCCTCACCACTGACCCTCACCACTCACCCCTCACCACTCACCCTCACCACTCTCCCTCACCACTCACCACTCACTCTCACCATTCACCCTTACCATTCAGCCTCACCACTCACCCTCACCACTCACCGTCACAACCACCACTCACCCTCACCACTCAACCTCACCACTCAACCTGACCCTCACTACTCACCATTCATCCTGACCAATCACCACTGACCAATCACCACTCACCACTCTCCACTAACCCTCACCACTCAACCTCACCACTCCCCCTCACCACCCACCACTCACCCTCACCACTCACCCTTCCTGCTCACCACTCAACCTCACCACTGACCACTCACCACTCACCCTTACCCTCACCACTCACTCTCACCACTCACCCTTACTATTCACCACACACCCTCACCACTCACCCTCAACATCAACACTCACCCTCACCATCATCACAAATCCTAACCACTCACCCTCACCACTCACTCTCACCACACCCTCAGCACTCACCCTCCCCACTCACCCTCACCACTTAACCTCACCACTCAACCTCACCACTCACCCTCACCATTCACCCTCAACACTCACCCTCACCCCTCTCCCTCACCACTCTCCCTCACCACTCACCGTCAGCACTCACCACTCACCACTCACCCCTCACCATCACCACTCACCCTCACCACTAACCCTGACCGCTCACCATTGACCACTCACCCTCACCACTAACCCTCACCATCACCACTCACCCTTACTACTCACCACTCAACCTCACCACTCTTCGTCATCACTCACCCTCACCACTCACCCCTCACCACTCACCCTCACCACTCACCCTCACCACGCACCCCTCACCATCACCACTCACCCTCACTACTCTCCCTCACCACTCACCACTCACTGGCACCATTCACCCTCACCATTCAGCCTCACCACTCACCCTCACCACTCACCCTCACCACTCACCACTCTCCGTCACAACCACCACTCACCCTCACCACTCACCCTCACCACTCAACCTCACCACTCAACCTCACCCTCACTACTCACCATTCATCCTGACCAATCACCACTGACCAATCACCACTCACCACTCTCCACTAACCCTCACCACTCACCCTCACCACCCACCACTCACCCTCACCACTCACCCTTCCTACTCACCACTCAACCTCACCACTGACCACTCACCACTCACCCTTACCCTCACCACTCACTCTCACCACTCACCCTTACTATTCACCACACACCCTCACCACTCACCCTCAACATCAACACTGACCCTCAGCACTCACCATCATCATAAATCCTAACCACTCACCCTCACCACTCACCCTCACCACTCACTCTCACCACACCCTCAGCACTCACCCTCCCCACTCACCCTCACCACTTAACCTCACCACTCAACCTCACCATTCACCCTCACCACTCACCCTCACCATTCACCCTCAACACTCATCCTCACCCCTCTCCCTCACCACTCTCCCTCACCACTCACCGTCACCACTCACCACTCACCCTCACCACTCACCACTCACCCCTCACCACTCACCCTCACCACTAACCCTGACCCCTCACCACTGACCACTCACCCTCACCACTAACCCTCACCATCACCACTCACCCTTACTACTCACCACTCAACCTCACCACTCTTCGTCATCACTCACCCTCACCACTCACCCTCACCACTCACCCCTCACCATCACCACTCACCCTCACCACTCTCCCTCACCACTCACCACTCACTCTCACCATTCACCCTCACCATTCAGCCTCACCACTCACCCTCACCACTCACCCTCACCACTCAACCTCACCACTCAACCTCACCCTCACTACTGACCATTCATCCTGACCAATCACCACTGACCAATCAGCACTCACCACTCTCCACTAACCCTCACCACTCAACATCACCACTCACCCTCAAAACTAACGACTCTCTCACCACTCACCCTCACCACTCAGCACTCAGCACTCACCCTCACCACTCACGCTCACCACTCACCACTCACCCATCACCACTGACAACTGCCACTCACCGTCACAACAACCACTCACCCTCACCGCTCACCGCTCACCCTCAGCACTCACCCTCACCACTCACCCTGACCACTCACCCTCACCACTAACCTTCACCACTCACCCTTACCACTCACCCTCACTCACCCTCACCACTCACCCTCACCACTCACCCTCACCACCACTACTCAAACTCACCACTCTCCCTCACCACTCTCTCACCACTCACCCTCACCACTCACCCTCACCACTCACCCTTCTCCCTCAACACTCACGCTCACCCTCACCAATCATCCTCACCACTCACTCTCACCACACCCTCAGCACTCACCCTCCCCACTCACCCTCACCACTTAACCTCACCAATCAACCTCACCACTCACCCTCACCA